GGTGAAGATCTTGTCGCGGTCGGAGACGAGGGACAAAGGGATGCCGTGCAGCTTCACAATGTTGTCCCAGAACGTGCGGGCGACAGTCGCGGCAGTGAAGGGGTGGCGGAGTGGCACGAAGTGCGCGAACTTGGTGAAGTGGTCGACGACCACCATGATGGAATTGCAGCTCTCGGACGTCGACAGGCCCTCGATAAAATCCATCATCAGGTCCTCCCATGGCGCCGAAGGAATGGGCAGAGGCGCGAGGAGCCCGGCCGGCCTGGTGTGCTCGTGCTTGGCATGTTGACAGACGGCGCATTGATGCACGAACTCCTCCACGTCTCTCTTCAAGCCACGCCACTCGAAGTGCTTCTTGACGCGGTGATAAGTCGCCGTGACGCCCGAGTGGCCGCCCACCGCGCTGTTGTGGAGCGCGGCGATCAGCTTGGTGCGCAGGGCCGTGTTCGCCCCAATCCAGAGCCGGCCTTGACGACGAATGACGCCGCGGTGGAGCTCGTACCCGTCTACATCCGGGCTGGACACGGCTAGATGTTGGAGGTTCTCTTGAGCCTCCGCGTCCATTGCGTAGGAGTTAGCCACCTCTTGCAACCACGCTGGCTGGTAGATCGAGAGCGCGGCCACGTCCATGAGCTTGCCCACCCGGGAGAGCGCATCCGCGGCTCCGTTGTCGAGGCCGCGCTTGTACAGGAAGCAAAACTGAAGGCCGACGAGCTTGGACATGGCCTTGCGCTGGACGTCTGTCTCGAGGTGTTGCTCTCCCAAATTGCAGAGACTCTTGTGATCCGTGAGGATGTTGAACGGCCCGCATTGTAGATACTGTCGCCACTTGTCCACAGCCATCATAACCGCGAGGAACTCCTTCTCGTAAGTGGAGAGTTTCTGGTTTTGCGCACCCAACGCCTTGCTGAAATAGGCCACGGGGTGCCCCTCTTGAGTGAGCACCGCGCCAATGCCCATGTCGCAGGCATCCGTCTCGATGGCGAACGGCTTGTCGAAGTTGGGAAGCGCGAGCACCGGTGTGGTGACCATAGCCTGCTTGAGCAGGTCGAACGCAGCTTGGGCGTGCTCGGACCACTCGAAGCCTTTCTTGGTGAGGAGCTGCGTGAGTGGCTTGGCGATGATGCCGTAGTGTGGCACAAACTTGCGATAGTAGCCTGTAAGGCCGAGGAAACCGCGAAGTTCAGTCGGCGTCGTTGGCGTAGGCCGCTGCACCATGGCTTGGTCTTCTCCGCATCGGTGGCGACGCCCTCGCGTGAAATCACATGCCCGAGGTAGTCGATGTGGTCGGTGGCGAACTCGCACTTGGAGGCCTTGACATAGAGTTGGTGTTGCCGGAGCAACTCCATCACCGTGCGCACATGTTCCAGGTGCTCCTCCATTGTTTCACTGAAGGCCAGAATATCGTCAAGGAAAATGATGACGAACTTGCGAATGTACTTACTGAAGATTGCATTCATCAGGCACTGAAATGTTGCCGGTGCGTTGGTGAGGCCGAACGGCATGACGCGGAACTGAATATGGCCGTGATGGGTTTTGAACGCCGTCTTGGCCTCATCTTCTTCGCGCATTCGAATCTGGTGATAGCCAGACCGCAGATCAAGCTTGGAGAAGACCGTAGTGCCCGCCAGTTCATCGAGCAGTTCGTCCACGATCGATAGGGGAAACTTGTTTTTGACCGTTGCGTCGTTGAGTCGGCGGTAGTCGACGCAAAACCTCCAGGTGCCGTCCTTCTTGTTGACGAGCAGCGCCGGTGCCGCGTAGGGGCTCACGCTGTGAGTAATGATCCCCGAGTCCAGCATCTCGCGGACCTGCCGCTCGATCTCGTCTTTCTACAGGGGAGAGTAGCGGTAGGGGCGAGTATTGGCCAGAATCGCCCCTTCCACCAATGTGACGGCGTGGTCGTACTGACGGTGCGGCGGCAGTCCTTGGGGCGCGGCGAAGACATCGGTGTACTCGTCGAGGAGGTCGGCGAGTGGGGTCTGGCTCGGTGACTTGCGCTTGGTCTGCATGGGCGGACAGGCATCCACCATGTCCATTGCCCAAACCTCGTTGCCGGCGATCAACTTGCGAAGTTCTGCTGGCTCCACCGCCGTCAGGGTCTCGGTGGCCTTGGGTTTGATGCCGCGCAGCGTGACTTGCTCGCCGTCGTGGAGGAATGAGACGAACTTGTCTTGCCAGTGGCAGGTCATGGGGTTGTGCTGCGCCAGCCAGTCCATGCCCAGGATGCCATCGTAAGCGCCGATGTCGAGCTCGCGCATTGGTGTCGAGAAGGTGTGCCCCTGCATCCACCACTTCAGGTCGGGTACGATGCGATCACAGGTGAGGCGATCGCCGTTGGCGACCCGTACTTCCACCGGCGGCAGAGGTTGGGTTTGTGCGCCGATGCGGTCGACGAAGCTCTTGTTGACGAAGCTGTGGGTGCTGCCCGAGTCGAGGAGGAGCAGCATGACTTGGTTCCCGACCAAGGCGCGCAGGCGAATAGTGCTCGGCGAGTCGGAGCCGTCCAGTGCCTGGGCCGACAGAACGCAGCACTCTGCAGGCCGATCTGGTGGAGTGGGCTCGTCCAAGAGCTAGAGAGCATGGATCGCGTTGTCGGAGAGAACCTCCCCATGCTCCCCCATGTGTATGGTGAGCAACTGTGCCGGCTGCGCGCAGCGGTGCTCCCGTGAGTATTTGTCGCCGCACTTGAAGCAGAGGTTGTTGGCGCGCCTGTAATCCCGCAACTGGCGCTCCTGAGCGAATTTGTCGCCGACAGCGCGTGGGGCTGCCGCTTGGCGCGGTTGAACCGTGTTTGTTGGTGGAGGAGGACGCCCTGGAGGAACTGGTCGGCCCCGTGGACGTGTCGTGCCCAGCTCTTCCTCCTGAATGCGCGCCAGCACGGATGCGCGGGTGATGCTCGACGGGGCTTGTAGACGAACCGCAGCGCGCAGCTCGTCCTTCAGTCCCAACAAAAACTGGGTGATGAAGAACTTGTTGTTGATGGAGGGATCCAATGCTAGTAGGTGATACATGAGTTCATCAAACGCCGTGCAATAATCGGCGACGCTGCCCGTCTGCCGTAGCTGAAGGAGACGATGCATAGTGAGCTCGAACTCGTCCGCACCAAACTCTTCGAGCACGGCGGCGCAGAACATGTCCCATGTCAGGTTGCGGTGACTCTGGCGAAACGCCTGGAGCCAGTGCGCCGCCTGCCCCTCGATGTACAAAGCAGCGGTAGTCACCCAAAATTGCTGACCCACCTTGTAGAGCTCAAAGTATGCCAAGCAACGATCCAGCCATAGGTAGGGTGCAGATCCGTCGAAACGGGGGAAATCGTGTTTTGGGGGTTTGTGGTAGGAGCTCTCTGGGTGGCTGGGGCTGGGCGGCGGCACGGTGACCCCAGCCATGGGCGCACCGAGAGGGGGAACCGAAATGAGTGGTGGTCGGTTGTCCCCCAGACGAGCGTGAGCTGAGGCGGGACGATGGGGCTCCGCGTGGGGGGGCTGATGGCGCGGAGGCGGTGGTGGCGGCGGTGGTGGTACCAGCGTGGTGACAGAGCCCGCTGGTGAGGTCGAGCCGTCGACGGTCTTGCGGGTCGCATCGACGTCTGCCTGCGTCAGATCGAGCTGCCGCGAGAAGCCCCGCAGCTCCGCCGAGATCTGGTTGTTGAAGGCGATCTACGCCTCGAGTTGCTTGTCGCGGAGAGCGGTTTGCTCGTCGAGCTTGGCGAGAAGGGAGTCGAGCATCTTCGCGATGTGGGTGTTCCCTTCCTCCATGGCTTACAGGACTTGCCGCGTCGCAACGGAGGGCTTCGAGGGCGCCGTTGCTCCTGCCTGAAAGGGGATCGAACCCCGCGACGGATTTTGGGCGAGATCCGGCGAGCGGACTCGCACTGTGCGCGGTGGATGTTACCGATCCACCTCCCAAGCTTCAGAAGGTGCAGCGGCAGTGAGGGGGAAATTTTTTTTGGCTCTGAATACCAATGTAACGCCCCTGATCGGGGAGGGGATCGGCGATCTAGAGTAGGTGAGAGGGAGCAGGTGAGGAAGGGGATGAGCTTGGAGAAGGGGTTAGGATTGTAGAGGAAGGTTTGGATACAGAGAATGATCTACACACGCATGCCTCCACACGGCCATAGGCGGCCACCCTTAACGCACCCACGCCTCCACTTGGCAGGCCAGCTGGCTGGGCCCGCCAGCCAGCACCTAGGCACACTAATCAGCTGATTAGGTGTGACACCAAGCTGAAATTTAGGGCACCCGTTTTAGATCTGCTGGAAATGTAGATTGACCTAAAATCTTCTCTCTTGGCATTTAAAATCAGTCCTGGGGCATCAAATTATTGGGCCACCGAGGTGATCTTAAGCACAGCTCATGGACTCCACCCCACATGGCAAGTTAATTTCTGACCCAGCTCTTCTTCACCTGAACCAAGCCAAACACGACCAGTCGACCAGGCACGGATGGCTCGGTGCCGTTGTACGTGTGCTTCCGCTGTGTCACGGGCTGTGCAACTTCAGCCGGGCATCCGCACCTTCCAGAAACGTACGTGTCAACCCTCCTGGCCGGGCCTGCGTCCCCGGCCACCCTCACCCCCACGTACCCACGCCCCCTGACAGGCCAGACCGGCCCGGCCCTTGCCCCACCCGTCAGCGTGCCACCACCGTCGCCGTACCCCACCTCCCTCCCGTGCACGCAAGGCACCCGGGGGCGCCGAAAGCGACGGGGGGCGCGACCGCGTGAGCTTTAAACCCGCCCGGCCTCCTCGCCGCACTCCCCACCGCCGCTCGCCGAGCTCGCCCGCGCCGGAGCCGGACTGAAACCTCGGGGGAGTGACTGCGCGGATCGGGAGGCTCTAGGGTTTGGGTGTGGGGTTGGAGGCGCGGAGCGGAAGGGGATAACGGTTGGTGGCTTGGCGCGGAGGGGAGGGGCTGGGGTTGGGGATTTGGATGGTCGCGGCGGCGCGGCGCTGGAGTAGTAGTACTGGTGCCGCTCCTCCTCCTCCTCCTCCTACCACCCATGGGAAGGTCGTTCAGGGACTCGCTCAAGCTGCTCGAGGCCGACATCCAGCACGCCAACTCCATGTGAGCTCCCCGCCCTCTCACACCTTCCTTCCTGCTGCTCCCGTATATAAATTCTGTTGTTTGATTGGCCTTTCATTTGAGCTGGTGTGGTTGTTGCGCTGTTGCCTGTATACAAATGTGATGCGGTATTTTTTTGGCCTGTGTCGCGATTAATCCGTTGCGGTCTCCGTTTAATCCTCCTCCTGGAGAGCTTATTTACAGATTATTATCGTTGCCGTACACGCCTTGGTTGGTTGATTTGATTATTATGCTAAGTATATGTATCCTTCCAGTTTTGAGTCATGACATTCCAGGATTATTGCTCCAATTTTGATTGACTGCATATACTTATCGCTTTAGTTTTATATATTGAGTATAATTATACTTGGGTTGCTGTGAAGGACTGAAACGCAGCTTCTTTCATTGACACGTGTCTGACAAATGTACTGCCTTCTGACCGAAGCCACCATCATTGGGCTTTGAAGCACTAGTGGAATATAGGAACAGCACTTTCTGAGCTCTCGTCATCAAACCCCTCTTGCTAGTGTACGATGCAATTCTTCTCGAGTGACAATGTGGTGGTGGCTTCTTCATCATTACCATGGATTTTTTTCGATATCGTCATGGAAATTGTCGTCCACAATATCATTTCGCCAACTAGCTACGCAATTACGCATCATGGATTTAGTTATCATGCTTTGTTTACTATCCACATGGGCATCAGTTGCTCTGGATGAATTCACTATTAAGGGTTGCCTACAGCTTTAAAACCTGGTCAGGAAACAATAATACATTTATCATGTACCACTTTTAACACGTGGTGTAGGAGTGCTTTCGACTCCTCTGGGCCTCCAACTGATTAAAGAGGCTACTGTTGCCTTAGTCAGCCACTTGTGTACAAGGCGTAGTTTTCAGAATTTAGTTGTAATCTTGAAAACATTGACCTCCAATGGTATTCTTTAATATTGAGTGTAGAGACTGCTAACTCTAGTTACAGCATAGGTACAGGAGCATATCCTTAGTCAGTTGTCTTCTAGCTTCAACCATGTTCCTATACCTCATATGATGCAACTGAAATGATTTAAGAATGTAAGTATTAAACTACTTTTTTTCTTACTATGGAGAGCAACATGGCAGGCAGTTTATTTGAGGAGATCACCGGGATCAGTGCCCTTTTTTTTGTTTTTTGATATGGTGTTCCTGGTACACTCACACATGTGTTAACATGTTGAACCACACAAATATTCTATGCCTTGATGTCATTTCTGGCCATTAACAACACATTTGCTGCCTTAATTTGGAAACAAGACTTGTTATTCTCAGATAAAGTTGGTCAATGAAGTTCTGGAGTGGTCTTGTTTTTGTAGGGATATCATGATTATCCTAATTTCTTGTGCTTTCATGATCTATATTACAGCATATAGCTTTGCCTTATCTGTAAGACCATGAAATGTAATGAACAGAATTGTGAACTTTTTGTGTAGGTTGAGATTTTAGTATGGTTTGTTTATTCCCTTCTTGTATCAAGAATGCATTGCTCAACATTTTATTTTATTTTTGGTAAAAACTGCAGTGCTTCTGAATTCCGAAGGGAATATGATGGTGCCTGTCTTCAGATGAGGATGTCATACTGTCCGGCTGCACACCTTTTCCTTTTTCTTGTCCAGTGGACTGACTGCAACCTTGCTGGTGCTCTTGGGCTGTTGAGAATTCTCATTTACAAGGTACGCAAGTATCATAGTCAGGTTTCTTTCTGCTATTATTTTGTTGTTGTTGTTGAATTGCAGCCATGATTAACATCATTATAATCTTAAAATCTGCAGGTTTATGCTGATGGAACGACCACCATGTCCACTCATGAAAGGAAAGCGAGCATTAGGGAATTCTATGGTACAGTATAATTGTTTTCTGCAACTGTTTCACGCATTCATTTTCTTTGACTGGTTTGTTCATTATGTCTCTATTTTTCATTATTTTTTGGCAGCTGTAATTTACCCTTCTTTGGCGCAATTACATGAAGGAATTAATGAGGTGGAGGACAGGAAACAAAAAGCAATTTGTATAGAGAGGTATAGAAGACGAGAGGAGGATCACAAAAGGGTGATCTCAGAGATTGATGATAATATAGAGGAAGAGTGTGGCATATGTATGGAAATAAACAACAAAGTTGTCCTTCCAACTTGTAGCCATGCTATGTGCATTAAATGCTACCGTGACTGGTACCTATCTTTTCTCTTCTCTCTGTATTGTCGAGCAAAATTCAGTATCAGAGAACATTTGGCTTTTGTCCTTGATAATAAAACACTTCTGCATGATCAAGATGAAATGACAGGTCCTCAGAATTCATATGTAAGCTGGTCGCATTGTCAACTTGTAATTTTACAATCAATCTGAAAAACGGACATCAGCATGGTCACCTAGCTACTACCTACTAGGAAATAATTGTGTCCTTTTGTGCTTACATGAAATCATTTATCTCCGTGGAATATTGATCTTAAAGCATGATACCAAGGGCTAATGAATATTTTACCTTTCAAACTGCTGTGGTCAGCTTGATTATGCTGTTATCATGCTACTAGGTCGTCTTCTATAAGTTTGCTCTTTGGTCTTCATAGGAGGCTAGGTGGGATCTAATTGTAATGGAACCCCACCCTATTTTGACTAGATATTTGCTTTCTTTAGAAGGAATAGATATTTGCTTTGAGCTGGCTTACATGCTCCTTCTAATTATTGTTCTGTATGATTAATTAATCATAATATTAGACTTTGGTATATAAGGTAGAAACAGGAATTAATTGGACATGGGATCTTTCTGAGACGGTGTACATCAACTTTGTCCAGAAACTGGCCTTTCTGATTTTTATGTTCATTGCCTTGCAAGAAGAAATCAAGAAATGAATCTTGCAGATTTGTATTGCATGATTAATTTAACCTCATTGGAGAAAAGGCATACTGGTTTGAGTAAAGCTCGGGGCAGACAAAGGTTGGATATACAAGTTTAGAACAATATAGGAGACCAAGTCCATCTAAGATAGGTTTCTCTTATCTCAGACCAAAGGATACTGTATACATCAGTTCTCACCTGGTTTCCTTAGATTATGTCCTGTCATCTCCTGCTTGCATTTGGATTTAGATTTTCTTTCCCGGATTTGGAAGAAACACCAGGCCTTGAGGATTTCAAATGGTGTGCATAATGACTAGATATGGTGTGAGCTCATTTCTCACGTAATGAAAACTTAATCCAGGATTAGTTGCGCCTCCTTTGCTGTATTAGGACAGAGTAGCTTGTGCATTCATTGAATCAAAATAAGAATCAGCTTTAAAAAGAAAACACACTCAATTGTATTTGGTTCTGAACATGTCATAGTCTGACAATCAACTTTCTACATTATCCATTTGGTTTCTTTAAATACACACCTATTGTTCTAAGTGTGGCCTCCCTTCCCTGCAGGAGATCAAGATCCCAGTCCTGTCCATTCTGCCGCGACAGTCTCAAGAGGGTCAACTCTGCCGACCTCTGGATATACACAGATAACAGAGACATAGTCGACATGGCGACAGTCAGAAGAGAGAACCTGAGGCGTCTCTTCATGTACATAGATAAGTTGCCCACGGTGATCCCCGAATCTGTTTTCGAGGTATACGATTCCCACGTAAAGTGACCCTGTGCTTGGCTCGGCGTCGCCACAATTGTTCATCAGTTGGGTACTGCTAGTGCTGTAGACATTACCAATTGTTTGTCAGTGGGGTGCTGCTAGTGCTGTAGACATTGCCGGTTGTTCATCAGTGGGGTGCTGCTAGTGCTGTAGACATTTCTGGAGCCCCGGGCGCCGGCTGCCGCGAGCTTATGAACGCTCCGAGCAGCTCGCCGGGGAGGCTCTGTATGTATGTGAGGTGCTCCTATATATGTAAATTATTGTCGGTTGTATCCACACGGCCTGTGTGATGATGTGTTAGGAGTCTGACGCCTTGGGCATGTAAGTAATGGATCATTTTTTTTTGCGGGCATGTAAGTAATGAATCATTGACTCTTAAGCATTTCGTCTGTGCCTGTTTGGGGGAATGCAATTCTGGAAGAATACGCTCTGTTCGATGTTTATGTCGACTATAGCAGTGTGTACTTAGGTCCTGTTGGAACGTGTGTATTTGTCGCAAAGTCTGCAGGAATCCATTTGATTGAGGCCTTCTTTGGTTCATAGGTAGGAGTATATTGTAGGAATTGTAAAGGATAGGAACTTTGTAGGAATTTTTTTAAGCCCTTTGATTTGTAGAAATGGATTTGTATTCCTATATAGGATGTCAATCCTTCATGTTTTAAAGGAAATGAAAAAATTTCTATCTATCAAATGACATGTCTTTCTTACATCTTTTTTGGTTTGGAGAAATTTTATAGGAATTTCATAGGATAAAATTTCTATAGGAAATTTAGAGCCCTTTGGTTTATAAGAACAGAATAGTATTTCTATGAAGGAGTTCTTCCTATCCTTCATATTTCATAAAAAAAAAAAATATTAGCCTAGACTTAATGAAAAAAAATCATATGATATGATTCAAATGACATCTTTCTTTCTGTTTCTATAAATTTTTTATCCTATAAATCAAAGAAGGTCTTCATAGCAATTAAGATGTATGTCATCTTGCTTTTTATAATTTTCCTATTTCTATCAAGGTGAAGTCTTTCTGCACCATAGACGATGGAGACAAGCTCTTCTGTTTGTACAATTTTTCTATCCTATAAACCAAAGAAGGTATTCATGACAATTAAGATGTATATCATCTTGCTTCCTATAATTTTTCTATTTCTATCAAGGTGAAGTCTTTCTGCGCCATAGACGATGGAGACAAGCTGTATGGATTGCATATCAGTATCACAGTGGTGCGGGCAGCTCCGACCGAAGGCATATGAATCTGTGATGCTTCGCTTTCGTGACGAATGGAATCAGTCGAACTGCCGTCGTTGCAAGAGGGCGTCACTCGTCACAACCAGAGGGTCGCTGGAGTGTCAGCTCTGGCACATTGGTCTGAAGTGGATGCCTCATTTGTTCCACGCCCGTCCTCCATGGTTCCATTTCTTGTCATGTTTTGCACGCGGGAGCTGGGCCTGAGACTGCTTTCGCCTTTCGGTATGGAAATCATCCACCAGCCTTTGTTTTGTCTCGGGGCCAACTGAAATACGGACCATCCACCGTGGCAGTCAGGCATGAGCAACGGTTAAAACTGCCGTCGCGGTTCGGAACGTGTGTTTGGTTTTAGGCATGTACTACCTAGAAAGACTTATATTTAGGAATGGAGGGGGTACAATAGTTGATAAGATAGTCTTATCTTAAATTTTACATATAATTTAGAGATGACAAAAAAAATATGTACAATGAGTCATCTTTTAGCCTTGTCTTCAATAACTACCTACTCTTAAAAACATGGTGAGACATATTGTGTTAAAAGATCATCTCTTGTCTTTTCTTAAATAAGAGAAGACAAACATTTTCTTATGAGTTCTCTTTCCTCCACTTCATCATTTATCCTACGTGACACTTCTAAGATTGCACATTGTACATGCCCTTAGCCTTCTTTAGCCCTTCTTTCTCTTCTCCCCGCACAAAGGTGGATACGGCGGATCTCGAGTAGGGGTCCCGAACTGTGGATCTTTGATCGATGGGGAACAGGAGACGTGGGACACGAGATTTACCCAGGTTCGGGCCCTCTCTAAGAGGTAACACACTACGTCCTGCTTGATTATTTGCTTGTATATATGGGGATTGCAGAGTTGATCTACCACGAGATCGGACGTACTAAACCCTAAACTAGTAGGATGGTGATTGTTATCTTAGCCTCTATGGACTAAACCCTCTGGTTTATATAGACACCAGGGGTGCTAGGGTTGACATATGTTGAATATTAGTTGGGCTACAGACCCACTTAACAATTTCAAAAAATCCCTAAGGGCCCATGTTGTCAATTGAGTGTAGGGAAGTTTAGTCCCACATGGCTAGTTGAGAGAGATGTACACCAACTTATAAGATGAGCTCTTCTCCCACTAGTATGAGTTGGTGTGAAGGAAGGAGAGGTGTTTGATACGTCTCCAACGTATCTATAACTTTTGATTGCTCCATGTTATATTATATACTATTTTGGACATTATTGGGCTTTATTATCCACTTTTATATTATTTTTGGGACTAACCTATTAACTGGAGGCCCAACCCAGAATTGCTGTTTTATGCCTATTTTAGGGTTTCGAAGAACAGGAATATCAAACGGAGTCCAAACGGAATGAAACCTTCGGGAACATGATTTTCTCACCGAACATGATCCAGGAGACTTGGACCCTACGTCAAGAAACAAAGGAGGAGGCCACGAGGTAGGGGGCGCGCCTACCCCCCGGCACTCCCTCCACCCTCGTGGGCCCCCTGTTGCTCCACCGACGTACTCCTTCCTTCTATATATACCTACGTATCCCCAAATGATCAGATACGGAGCCAAAACCCTAATTCCACCGCCGTAACTTTCTGTATCCACGAGATCCCATCTTGGGGCCTGTTCCGGAGCTCCGCCGGAGAGGGCATCCATCACGGAGGGCTTCTACATCAACACCATAGCCTCTCCGATGAAGTGTGAGTAGTTTACCTCAGACCTTCGGGTCCATATTTATTAGCTAGATGGCTTCTTCTCTCTTTTTGGATCTCAATACAATGTTCTCCCCCTCTCTTGTGGAGATCTATTCGATGTAATCTTTTTTTTGCGGTGTGTTTGTTGAGACCGGTGAATTGTGGGTTTATGATCAAGATTATCTATGAACAATATTTGAATATTCTCTGAATTCTTTTATGTATGATTGATTATCTTTGCAAGTCTCTTCGAATAATCAGTTTGGTTTGGCCTACTAGATTGATCTTTCTTGCAATGGGAGAAGTGCTTAGCTTTGGGTTCAACCTTGCGGTGTCCTTTCCCAGTGACAGTAAGGGCAGCAAGGCACGTATTGTATTGTTGCCATCGAGGATAACAAGATGTGGTTGTTTTTATCATATTGCATGAATTTATCCATCTACATCATGTCATCTTGCTTAAGGCGTTACTCTGTTTTCATGAACTTAATACTCTAGATGCATACTGGATAGCAGTCGATGAGTGGAGTAATAGTAGTAGATGCAGGCAGGAGTCGGTCTACTTGTCTCGGACGTGATGCCTATATACATGATCATACCTAGATATTCTCATAACTATGCTCAATTCTGTCAATTGCTCAACAGTAATTCCTTCACCCACCGTAAAATACTTATGCTCTTGAGAGAAGCCACTAGTGAAACCTATGGCCCTCGGGTCTATCTTCATCATATTAATCTTCCAATACTTAGTTATTTCCTTTGCTTTTATTTTACTTTGCATTTTTATCATAAAAATACCAAAAAAATTATCTTATCATATCTATCAGATCTCACTCTCGTAAGTGACCGTGAAGGGATTGACAACCCCTTATCGCGTTGGTTGCGAGGAGTTATTTGTTTTGTGCAGGTACTAGGGACGCGCGCTCAACCTCCTACTGGATTGATATCTTGGTTCTCAAAAACTGAGGGAAATACTTACGCTACTCTACTGCATCATCCTTTCCTCTTCAAGGAAATCCAACACAGTGCTCAAGAGGTAGCAGTGTTCCATATGCGCGCTCCTCCTCCGCCGCCCGCCTCGCCACGCCACGCCTCGCCTCGACGCGCGCGCGCACCGCGGGTTGCGGGAATGAGCTGAGCCGATGCAATGTTTTGCCGGTCAAAATTGGAGAGTCCATTACAAACACAATGAAAACGTCCATAATAAATACGTTTTTTATTGTGGAGATGGAAACGTCTATAATTAAACGCGTCACTACTAGGAAAAGGCCTACTAATGGCACACCTGTTTTGGCTACTAATGGCGCACTACAGGTGCGCCATTAGTACCACGCCACTAGTATATTTTAGTAATGGTGCACCACAGATGCGCCGTTAGTATCTGGTATACTAATGGCGCACCACAGGTGCGCCATTAGTGTCCCATAGGTGCGCCATTAGTATCTGGTATACTAATGGCGCACCACATGGAAGTGCGCCATTAGTAACATTTTTTTTAAAAAAAATTCGTTTTTTTCTTAATCTCAGGTCACTATTTCACATATGAGATATCCAACACATATATATACAACAAGCATCCATATAATAATCATATCCAACACACAAGTTTCATCATATATACATACATAGCCAACACATAGTTCCATTATTACATATTACAAAAGTTTCACATTGTTCATCCAACACCGTTATCCATCAATTCACAAAAGTTTCACATTGATACAAAATAAAAACACAAATGGAAAAGAAGCACTCCATCCATGCAAGCTTCCGTGAATTAAATCAAATCTGCAAAATGGTAAACAAGAAGTTAGAAGAAGAAGAAAAAGAAGAGAAGAAGAATAAGAAGACTAGAAGAATACTAGAAGAAGAAGAACACTAGAAGAATACTAGAAGAAGAATAAGAAGAAGAATAAGAAGAAGAATAAGAAGAATAAGAAGAAGAAGACTATAAGCTTATTATGTAAACTTGATCATTTTGTGCTAACATAAGTAATTTTGGAGCTAACCTATAGGAAATTAAGCATATAAGCTCTAAGTTAGCATATTAAAGCCAACTTAGGTAAAATGAAGCTAACCTATGTCATTTTGGAAAAGAAGAAGAATAAGAAGAAGACTATAAGCTTATTATGTAAACTTGATCATTTTGTGCTAACATAAGTAATTTTGGAGCTAACCTATAGGAAACTAAGCATATAAG